TTTGAGATTTTACATTTGAGTTTTGCTAGAGATGCCTTGAGTGATGTCATGCAAGTGGTTTGCACAGTGGCGGATTTAGTATGGGGGCAGTGGGGGCAGCTGCCCCATTGAAATTTTAAAAACTTTTGAGAGTTAGATGTAATTTTAAAAATTTCAAGAATTTCTTAAACTTGCTCTTATTGAAATTTTTTTAAAGTATAGGGTATATTAATATAATTTTTAACACTTAAAAGCTAATTGTTGACGGCTCCTTTTCATTTTTCACACCTGGCAGTTGCCCCCACTGAAATTTTAAAAACTTTAGGGAAGTAGGTGTAATTTTAAAAATTTCAAGAATTTCTTAAACTTACCCCCACTGAAATTTTCTTAAAATATAGAGTATATTAATATAATTTTAAACTCTTAAAAGCTAACTTTTGACAGCTCCTTTTCATGCCTGCTTTTGTTTTTCATAAGCCTTCGTCTAATTCGTCCAGACTTCCAATCTAGTCTATGCGTCCGGCCAGCAACCCTTATTTTTTCCTTTATTTTGTTTTTTTGTTAGTTCCTTTGATATATTCATTAACAAATCACCCTATTGGATTCAATCATTGTGCAAATCAAATTTAAAAAAACCCTAAAAGTTTATGTTGAACTTAAGGAGAGGTAATCCATTAACCAAATTTTTTGATAGTAGTATTAGCACTAATCTAAAATCAGATTTTTTATATTAGAAAAATAGTTTAACTCTTGTAGAATTTATGGTTGTTTGGTGTATTATTTATGGACTTATGTAGGTTTTTTGTTTCGTCTTGGATCACCACTCAATTATTTTGGATTTTTGTTAAAGTCCATTTTCAGATTGGCTATATGAGATTCTTAGTTAGTGCTATTTTTCTTTCCTAAGATTAAATTGTTTCAATTGATTCCTTGAGATTCTAGTTTGGATTATAGTTTGATTATGTGTAATTCATTATCTCATTTGTTACGTACTTAATGATGAACTTTTAAACATGAATTTAATTAGACAAATTAATTTTTAAACTAGATATAAATAGGTTGCCTACACTGGGACAAAATACCGTCTCTGCCCCTGGATTTACAGGAGATTATGCATATCTTGAGTTTATGTTGTGAGCAAGAATATACAAAGTATATTAGTTAATTAAGTGGTTTCTGTCAAAGCAAACAAAATTAGATAGTCTAAATCAGAACACGTTCTTGGGCAAGTAGATAGAGAAACATTAGGTTGAATAAAATGGTAAGTAGAGGTACTTGAATCCAAAAAACAAAAGACAATTCCGTACAAGGCAACATAACTAGGAAATAAAAGTATAGAAGTTAATCAAATCATTTTTATCAAAACAAACAAACTTGGATGGTTGGAATCAGAAAAGTTTCTTGGGCACGTAGATGGAGCAACATCATGTGACATATATTAACACGAGTAATGCTACATAAACATAAAAAATTAGACTTTATAATCTCAACCATTGAATAGATAGTGATTCCAATAAATGTTGGGACCTACAGTGAAATCAATGGTTGAAATTATCAAATCTAGTTTTTAAATCTACTTTTTAAGTTCATGTAGCATTGCTCTATTAACACACTAAGCAAACTGGCACAAGTCCTTTCTATATAAAGCTCTAGAGAAATGGTAGAGCTCATAGTCCTCTAAACTCACTCTACATCATAGATCTTGAGTGAAAGCAGCACCATGGCTTCCAAATTTCTCTATCAATGCACTTGTTTTGCTTTGGTCTTCATAATGGGGGCTTTGATTTCTCAAACGACATCTCGTTCTCTTCAAGAGGCATCGATGTATGAGAGGTATGAACAGTGGATGACTCAATATGGACGTGTGTACAAAGACAGTGACGAGAAGGACAATCGTTTCAAAATATTCAAGGAAAATGTCAAGAGAGTAGAATCATTTAATAGGGCTGCAAACAAGCCTTACAAGCTTGGCGTTAATCAATTTACAGATCTCACAAATGAAGAGTTCAAAGCACACAATAGACTCATGAGGCGTGTTTGCTCCACGGAGGCAATCTCCTTCAAATATGAAAATGTGACTGCAGTGCCAACAACTATGGACTGGAGGAAGAAAGGAGCAGTAACACAGATCAAAGATCAGGGCCAATGTGGTAAGTCACAATCTTAGGAACAACCATTTTTATTTTGGTATTTTCTAACCTGTATCCAACATCAAAATATAGGTTGTTGTTGGGCATTTTCGGCGGTGGCAGCTGTGGAAGGAATAACTAAATTAAAAACGGGTAAGCTAATATCTTTGTCCGAGCAAGTGCTGGTTGATTGCGACACCAGTGAAGATCAAGGTTGTGAGGGTGGTCTCATGGACAATGCTTTCACGTTCATCCAAAACAATCATGGCCTTACGACTGAAGCTAATTATCCCTATGAGGGAACTGATGGTACTTGCATCGGCACCAAAGAAGCAAATCATGCAGCGAAGATAACAGGGTACGAGGATGTGCCTGCCAATAGTGAGAGTGCACTACTTAAAGCAGTTGCAAATCAACCAGTCTCTGTTGCCATTGATGCTGGGGAATCTGACTTTCAGTTCTACTCGAGTGGTATATTTACAGGGGAGTGTGGTACTGAACTAGACCATGGTGTTACAGCTGTTGGTTATGGCACCAGCGATGATGGAACCAAGTATTGGCTAGTGAAGAACTCATGGGGTACAAGTTGGGGTGAGGAAGGCTACATAAGAATGCAAAGAGATGTTGATGCAAAGGAAGGCCTGTGTGGCATTGCAATGCAAGCTTCATATCCCACTGCATAGAAGATCAACCCTAAAACATTATGGCTATGTAGCTTATTGCTATGATTTCCACTCCAACTCTTGCTCATTCATATTTGCAGCAAGAACTTGTGAATTTGTGATTCTTATTTAACAGGATATATAATATATTTAAAACATATCGGTTGCAATTTAAAAGCTTTGACTTCACTAGAAGGGCGCTATAACGCTCAAGCCCAGAAAATTCATGAATTGCAACCAAACATGCAAAGGTTGGATGAATGGGTTGTCAAATAAAGACCCCCCAAAACATTTACACAATCCTTCTAATTGAGGGCCAGAAATGATAAAGCTCTATCAATAAGAAAAACAAAACCCTCTTTGATTGGGCAACAAAGGCCCTTAGATTAATCACCGAAATACAAGAACAATTATGTTTATCAATGGTTAAATCATTAAATATCCAGTTTGATTCCTCACCTTTCCAAGCCCGCAGAACTACTAAAGTCATCAAAACGATCTAATTTCGGTCATAGGCCAGAGGGGACACTGGCCCACCCAAAAAATATTTTTATTATTTATTACTTAGATGTATCATAAATGTTTTATTTATGAGTTAACTCATTGGTGGTGCCCACCCAAGATTCCGTGACACAACAATACTTAGTGGTGCTCACACCCATGATCCATGAGAATTCTTTTTATTTATTCATATTATTCACATACAACTTTTAGATCACCACACAAACCAACGACACTATGAGACAGAATATGGAAACAAGGAGGAAGAACAATTGAAGAAACAACAATGTCAAGATGGTAAGGGCGACTCTTCGGCAATTGCGACCCTATGGTGACTTTTTTAGAAGGATATTACTTGTGAAGGACTATAATCAGTCTCATTTTTTTTTTTTTTATGTAAAATGAGATAATTAATTTTTTTTTTTTGTTTTTAATTACATCCAATACATATCGAATTTTGGCCATTTCTGTTTAGTAAAATTTTAGGAATTAAATATAATTTTTAAAATCTACTTTTGTATCCTTTACTCTAATCATTTGAAAGAAAAAATAAATAATTTTCAATTTAAGTGCCCACCCTCATATTTATTCCTGGCTCCGCCCGGCAGGCTGCATATGAGCCCTGAGATGCTGGGGAAAATTGGTGAAGGCCAAGACCTAGAAGGCAGAACTTACAACTTGCCTATTTACATAATTAAATGGGTAAATGATAGTTTACCTCCTTGTGGTTTGGTCTAGTTACGCATTGCCTCCTTTTGCTTTTAAAACCTACGCATAACCCCCTATACTTTAAGATTAAAGCAAAACCGTTAGATTTTCCGTCTAAATTGATGGAGAGTGTATCACACTAGTTTACATCTTGAACTCCTAATTAGCAGGGAAAAAAGAGTAATACTACACGGACCTATAGTGAAATCAAAGATTGTAAGTCCATGTAACATTATTTAGAAAAAAAAAACCGTAAGTTACATTGTTAAGTTGTCATCACTACACTATCATGTTATGAGCCTTCTCATTTCTAGAAGAAAATTGTAATACAGTGGTGGTAATTTTTTGATACATGCCTCCTCCAAATTGTAAGAGCTTCTTAATGACTTTGGCTTCTATGCTTGTAATCTTATGAATGCCATTTATCTTCTAGTTGTTAAACCAAACATAATTATGTATCACAATAACATTCCGTGTCATTAATCCAAGCCTACAATTCCTCAAAAAACTTCTTAAGTGTGACATTTTTGTCACATAATGATGATATCTGTATGTGTAACACGGCAAGATAGCTAGGATATTTTTTTATTCAGGGTAGTACAAATATGAAAAGGTCACAGAAGTTATTAACCAGAGTGACCATTCATTTTCGAATGTGACATACAACCTTTCACATGATTGAACAAAATTACATGGCGGAGGCATTTGAATCAAAACAGTAAAGACCAAATTCCCTACTAAACAACATAATTCAATATAAGCTTTCACTATACTTGTGAATATGGTTTATTATGAATGACAAGTATGGAGGTTAATCTAATCATATATATATCTGTCATAATACAAAATTATACATCAGAACCATTTCTCGGGCACGTAGTGAGCAACATATCAAAAACATAACCCAATATGAGTAGGCAAACTGACAGAATCCAGTTCTATATAAAGGTCCAGTGCAATGGTGTAGTTCATAGCCATATACTCTCATTCTAAATCTGAAATCTCAAGTGCCAGTAGCACCATGGCTTCCAAATTTCTTTACCAATGCACTTGTTTCGCTTTGGTCTTCATTATGGGGGCTTTGGCTTCTCAAGCAACATCTCGCTCTCTTCAAGAAACTTCAATGTATGAGAGACACGAGCAGTGGATGGCTAAATTTGGACGTGTCTACAAAGATAGTGATGAGAGAGACAATCGCTTCAAAATATTCAAGGAAAATGTAGAAACAATAGAATCATTTAACAAAGCTGCGAATAAGCCTTACAAGCTTGGTGTCAACCAATTTGCAGACCTTACAAACGAAGAGTTCAAAGCACGGAACAAACTCAAAAGGCGTGTTTGCTCTACGGAGGCAATTTCCTTCATGTACGAAAATGTGACTGCGTTACCAGCTACAATGGACTGGAGAAAAAAAGGAGCTGTAACACCTATCAAGGACCAAGGCCAATGTGGTAAGTGACAATCTTTTAGGAAATGAAAATTTTTATCCTGGTATTTTCTGACTCTTATACAATATGAAAATATAGGATCTTGTTGGGCATTTTCGGCTGTGGCGGCTACAGAAGGAATTACTAAACTTAAAACAGGTAAGCTAATGTCTTTGTCTGAGCAAGAGTTGGTCGACTG